TTCCCTCTCTGTATTTCTGTAACTGTGCTTATACATATTTTTGAGATGTTTTTCCACTCTTTCTTTACTTCATCTTCTGGTTTTGTTGTGCTTTATTCCATGTTTTTTCATTTTCTTGACCACCTTGTGTTGCCATCTCTTTTTATCCATTCATTTGCATGTCTGTCTTCCTTTCTGTTTTATTTTTCCTCCTCCCAACCTTCTTCCTTTTCACAGCATTGGAACACGGGAGGTAGTCACCCAGAAGAACTTGAGTGGCTTGGTGCCCATCCGAGATTTCAGACTAGATCCCAGCCTCCTCTACTCTATTCCTTTACTAGCTCTCAGCCCCAATTTACTGATTGTGTGGCTGTTTCTGAGCATAGCATACCTGGTGGCCAGATTACGTTGCAAGTGAAGATAAAGTTTAAAAAAAAATATATGCTTGAATGTGTATTGCCACTTGGTACCTGCTGGACAAAGGAATGTGTCATAGCATTGTCTGCCAAGAATTATTATTATGCCTTACAATTTTACGTTTCTATTGTACTAAACTGTAAATATACATCAAATTATTTTATCAAAAAGAATTGTATCGAAACTTTAAATTATTGTTCTGCTTTCAGTGCTTGTAACATAGTCTGACATTGGCCTGTTACCTCGTTACTTTAGCCAGCCTGAAGATCTCTTACCAAATATACTTTTGTGTTACTTGTTTCATGTATTCCAGAGAAAGGAACTCTGTCTGAAAAGAATTTGTATCTTTTTGTATATTTAAGGTGTGTGCTAATCTTGCCTTTCATTTTTACGAGGTATGAAGGGAAAAATAAAACACGGGTGGGGTTTATAAGAAATTGTAAGAAATTTATTTAAAGAAATATACAAATTTCTACCTTCATTTCAAAGCATAATATCCAATTTGCGTTACTGAACAGTTTGTAGAACCATAGTCTTGTTCCTTTCTCATGGTTAAGTATGTTCTAATAGACTAGTGTACCCACTCAGAATTCTAACAACTTGCGGTGCGCTGCATGCAGAATTCTTTCATTCTGTTTGTAGATCTGCATTTTGTAATGTATTAAAGACATAAAGGGAATGACTTGTGGTTAGGAAGAGGATGTAATTGGCATTAGCCTGCTAATGATCCATTATCTGTTTCAGGTACTCTGTTATAGAACTTATTCTGAAACAGGGTCATTATCATCCTAGAAGTTAAAGATATTGGTCTTTAATGTTACAGGCAAGAAGAGGGAGGTATCAGTTAGCTCCTTTAGTAGGTGGGTTTGAGGTTTTCCATTGGGCTTTGTTTTAATTACACTAATATTACTGTTATTTCCATTTTTAAGTGTTGGACAGCTTTAATAAATTATGATGTTGATAGTGACTTAGAGATAAATGAATGATGATAAGTTAACATTTATTTAAGTGGTGAGACTAAAGCGGCTTACCTAGTTTAGTCATGCAGAATAACTGCATCATCATTTATATATAACAACAAACTGCGAGAGGCCTATTTAAACCAAAAGATTTTGTTGATGCAGTGGTCTGGCAGAGCTTGTCAATAGCAATAGCTGATCAAAAAAACTAACCTCATTTAATGTAGTTTGCTAAATTCATGAAGGAATTTACTTCGCTTGGTGCCTGAGATGACAGAAAATTGGGCTTCTGAGGAGAACTCTTCTAGTACTGTGTTTTCTATTTTCTACTATTATTAACTCGCTCAAAAAACATAGGTAGCTGTAGCTTTTATTAACAATTTTAATAGAATTTGAAAGCTTCTGAGAGAGGTAAGATTAAAAAAAGAGAAAAAAAAGCACAGTTAGAATAAAAATTCGAATAAAATCCTAAATTTGGTGACTATTCTAACTGAAAAAAGTATGTGGTTATATTTGTGTCTTCATGAAATCAGACTGTACAGTACACTATCTCCTGGTATTTTTCCTCACTATTTTTCCAATTTTGTTTTTAAAAGAAAAAAAAAACAGAAAGACATACATATATATTATATATACATATATATATTTAAGCATGTATCCTATTTATTTTTAGGTGCAATGAATTTAGGTAAATCCTTACTGCTGATGAGATTTAAAATCATGGTATGATGGTATTGGACATATCCACGTCTTGTGCGACTATCATTAGGGTTGCAGTAAGACTGCCCTTAAATTCATCTAGAATGAAAGCCTAGGCTTTTTGAAAACAGGGTAGTTTTTTTCTTTTTTTCTTTAACTTTGGTGGGGACAAGTTTTCATCATTTTTGCTTTTTTAGCTTGGTCTGCTTTTGTTCAGGCATTCAGATTTAAAATGCTGTAGTGCATACTGCTTATGGACCTCCAGCAGAAGAAACATGGCACATGAAATGATGTGTGAAATACATCTTTGTCACCATCTCTGTGGTCCACCTGTGCCATAGAGGGACACGTGCAATAACTAGATGCAGCTGAATGAATTATGAACAGAATGATTCACTTTGGAGTGAAAATGCTCATCCAGCATCCCGTATATGCTATTTAAACTTACTGGGTTTATTACTATGCTGAACTAAAATTTGTGCAAATTTTTGATTAATTTATTTGACTGCAACAGCCTTTGGGATGGGGGGTGTGTGTCTGTAAAACACAAAACAATGACATGAAAACAGTGTCATCACAGACAATCCATTCTACAAAAGGCAGTCACAGAATGTGCTCTGGAGACAAATTTCAAACTTACTTAAACCGTTTCTTAGAGCAAAAAGTTACAATGTTTTATGAAGTTAAACTAGGAGATACATACAGAACACAGTTACAGTCAGTTTAATTAACCACAATTAGAAGAATGGTGAGGTCAGAGAACTTTCAAACTGAACTGGAATCCAAACCTCCTTTTGAATCAGATGACCACAGCTTACCTGATGCAGCAGCCATCTCCAAGACAGGAATAATGTGACATTTCCACCATGAGATGGTGTACTGTGCACTTTGCCATGAAGTTCGAGTATTAAATCATCATTTAGGTTTCACTTCTCTATCAGGGAAAGACATTCTCCTACAAGCCTAAGTTGATTTATAATATATATTTAAAAGATAGTGCTTCCTCTTTGTATGTCTGTTTTTGGATATAATCAAAGGAACTCTGAAGTAGATTTACAAGTGTAAAGAAGCCTTATAACTGGAGTAGTTTTTTATTGTAGCACAGAACCTCTTTGTAATGTGGGGCAGTTGCACCAAAACACTGGGTAAAAATTAAATTTTGCACAGCTTTGTTTCATTAGGGTGATGACTGTGAATGCAGCCAATCTTTTTTTGCACCCACACAAAGCTGCTATTTCATTATTAAGATTTTTTTTTTTAGAGTATGTTGGTTTTCAAGTCAATTTATGCATGCAGAGATAACTGGAAAGTAATTATTTTTGTATCAGCTCTAATCGTTAAGTAAGTACTGATAATACTGACATGCAGGGAACAATAAAATTACTTTAAAGCTCTTATTGAGAGATCAGCAACTTTTCTTTTTCAGCTTAATGTATTAATAAATTAGCAGAACTGATTTTAGGCAATCTCTTGGGATCCCTTGTGCAATGAAGTGGCATGTGAACTCCACAACAGTGTACCCTGAAATACATGAAACCATCGTGAAAGAACTTTTTCAGTAGATGTGCTGCTGCTTTTTAGAAATGCAAAACTAGCAATCAGACATAGCATGTGTCCATTCTGTGTGCTGCTTACTAGCATTGTATGATGAGTCATCATTTTAATATTTGCAGTGGCAAATTAATTAAACGCTCATTAAATTTAACCAACTTTTTTTTAATGCTATAAAATAACCAGTTCATTTCATCTTAGTTTAAGTCTTTTTTTTTTTTTCCCTTTTTACTGCTGTCATTTTTTGTGCTTGTTTTTTTTCCCCAGTGAGGGTTGTCGGCGAGAAAATACAATGAAGAATGTTGGATGTCGCAAGTATGCATTTAATTCCCTGCAACTGAAGGCTTTCCCAAAGTATTACAGGCCTCCAGAAGGAACTTATGGAAAAGTTGAAACATAAGCATACTATGTCCTTTAATCGCTGTTCCATTAAAACATGTGGATACACTCTAGATTAATACATGATTTTGTCATCCAGAAGAGATAACCTTTTTGTACATTTCGCTAGGTTATACAGAGCATGTTACTTACAGAATTGGAATCTATAGTAACAATTATTCTGACACCTTAGCTTGAGAATAGTGTGATGACTCTGCCCGTTTAAATAGCCTTCAGTGTATGTAAGATGAACAGATATTGTGCTACTTAATAATTACCTATATGCAAATAGCTAGGTACCTCCTGGATGGGCAAGGACTCTAGGAACGGCATTTAGGCAGCTGTTTCACATAACATCTTTTTATACTGAGTTGACTTGAGATTGAGCTTTTCATAAACTTTTTAAAACTGAGAGTAAAACTCAAAAGTTGTAAATAAAAAGGGATTGGATCCTAGACAGTCTAATAACTGTAGAATGCATTGTTACAATCAAGAAAGAGAAGTTTAACTTTAAAAAAAAAATCAGCACAATAAAAGCCAGGAGTATAAATTGTTTTACTGTGTACAGGATGCCATCTTCATATATGAAATTAACAATACATAAAAGCCCAGGCATATGAGGTCTAGTTCCTAGTTCTGTCCAAATAAAACAAATTCCTGTCATCTTTGGCAGATAAGGACTTGGGCACACAACTGATTTTAAAAAGTGTTTCAGAAACATAATGATGCTTAACCATTAATGCCAGCAACAGCTCCTCCTGCCCTTCCCCACTATAAAGCAAGTGCAACTAGCAACTTGCTAATGTTGCACGTGACATGTTTAGTATGTTCCATGGTATTGTATATTAATTAACAGATTTTTACCCATGGCTTTTTATATGACTTCTAGATTGTAAGCATTAGCATCTCGGGGGATTACATTTTTTTTTTGATTGGTGTTTGATTTTTTTGCCCCCATATCAATTTTGTATGTCAATACAAAAATGCTCAAAGTGCCCGATGCATCCCTGTTACTCCATAACCAAAATTGGATTCCGTTTACCTTTGCATTTTACCTGGGCAGATGTTCAGAATCCTGGGGGGAGAAGTATGACTGTCTTCAGGATATTTCTGAGGAAGGTAGGGATGCCTCATGTCGATGGAAAGAAACTGCTCATGTGCTACTGCTAATGCATGAGAACCGCAGATGTGTTCAACCTTATGACTAAGGTGATCAGTTTTGATAGCATTTGGTAAAAAATGTTCAACAGATCTCCTTGGAAATAATCTCCCAAAGAATGCTTTTGAAGCTAGGATACCTTTATAAAAAGCAGCTAAACATTAATTTCCAAATTTTAACAGGATTAAGTCATCTCTAGCTAGCTTCGTTCAGCACACTGTGCCCTTTCCTTCCTGGTTTCCAAGGATGTAAGTTTTAGAATAGAAAAATCCGCCCATTTATTCTTGTGAGAGTAGCAACAGCCAGGTAAGTATATGGCTGTTTTCTGATTTCTTTCTCCCTCTCACTGATGTTTGTCTGTGCTGTCACTGCTCTATCAATCGGTCATGTTCATTCTGCTCCCATGTAGGTTTTGGGGGTTACAGGTGTAGCAGTTTTTGCATTTTGCTTTTTGCAGTTTAACACTGAGCAGCATGTCACAAAGCCAGGTCAGAGAGTTCTGCTGAACTATGTTGTTACCATTATTTCAGTCTCTCTAGGATAACAAAACACTGAATTCTGTGCAAAATCAATGTAGCCGCCCCAGGTCTGAACAAATCATCTACAGCACAACAGTCCCTTGGAAATCTTACAAACCCTGTTCGCTAATTAATAAATAAATGTTGATTTTGTTTTATTTTTTGTTAATATGTAAACAAATATATGGTGAAAAACTTTTCAGTGGGATCTCTTTAGACATGTTACTCCAGTAGTTCTGCTCAACCTTCAGTCCCCAGCCCATTATTAAATGCTACATTTATTTTTGTATACACTATACTCTTTATATCCCTTAGTTTTTATGAGTTGATAATTTTATTTTGTATATTTCAAACATAGTTAATTATATTTTAAGTCCAGTATTGTTACACTAAAAATCTTCCAATGTTCAGCTTCACACAAAAATAACAAGAGGTCTATTGTAACAATTAGCAGAGCCACTCTCTTAGACTGTGGCCAACAATCATCAGATCTACTCTACAGCTTAGCGATCTTTTATTTATTTTGTATACCAATGTAATCAGAAGAAGTTGCTGAATTTTGTATGTGCATGGTTTTTGCTCACCTTTTTAAAGTGGTGGAATACCAGTCTCAAGTACTGCATTATTTTGTTTAAAATATTCTGATTTCAGTATGCTTATGTGTAAAACATTGTTGTCTGGCAAACATTTTATATATAGGACATTGTCAGTACATGCACATCGACGGGCTTATTTAAAGGGCGTAATGAACAGTAAGATCTTGAGCAGTTCATCAAAAAAGAAAAACTGTGAAACTTGAAAATCACATAGGACGCTTCACAAGGGTGAAGTAAGCTTTTCTGTTGCACAGGAGAGGCAAATGTAAGGATTACTGTAAAATGAAGTTCTGTCTAATGTTCTTTTTTGAGTACATTTTTTAAATTTTAAAACATACAAAGGTGAAAAAAAGAAAACTGTTGCCAAGTATGTTCTGTGTATGTTCTGTGAAAGTACCTACAGCACAGTTGCCTTTTGTTTCATTTATACATGTAAAAATTATTGTATAATACAACACTGTTTTGTCCCAACACAATTGTATTTGCCAAGCTTTGTGCATTGAAATATTTTTATTTATTTGTTTTTGAGCAGTATTAATATATCATAAACATATGGCTACTGTTTTATATATTCTAGTTCATCCAATCCATGTATGCTGTAAATGTGCTAGTCTTTAGGATGAAAACCAATAAAGAACTGACAAGAATAACAAATGGTGGCTTACTTTTAATGTGTTTGTGGTAAATTAAAATAAACACTTTCAGGTTCCTTGACTTGATATACTTTGTCTGTTGGAGAATATATTAAGCGCAGTTGTGTATGGAGATATTTTACACAGATATGGAAGTCAGGAAGTAGTTACTTCTAAACCCTGCTAAAGTATAGCTGCTATCAATTTTCAGGCACTGGTTTATCCTACATGTTATACATTCAGCAATGACAGTTAAACAAAGAAGCAGCATGGATTATATTTTTTTCTTAAGTTTATAACTTTCTCCATGAATCTTCTACAAGACCTTCCTGAGCTTCATTCTCTGTTTTTTCACTCTTCCCTCCATTAATAGAATTCCTTCTCTGCTGCTGCTTCCCCTTCAGCCAACTCATCCCTCCAGCAGCTTTAGTAGTTGTCCTACTTTTCAGCAGGGACATGCTGTCATTGTTGATTGTTATTTTGATTTCAGGTTAAATAAATTTTATATCATACTGCAATAGACAATAATCCAGAGCATTCTGATTTCTATAAAATACAAAGAATAGAACCTAAAAGTGTAATTCTGCTGTCACTGGATGTTTGAGATCTGCCAAATACAATTTTCTTTGCATGAAAGAGGACTTAAGACCGTAGGTGGGGCTCAATGAATTAGTTTTTCTAGCTACACAGAAAGAAAAAAAGTACCAGAAAAAAAACCATGCTGCTTTCATTCAGAATGCGAAAGAGAAGATGCTTGACAGGTCCTAAATTGCAAATGCAAAATACATATATTTATACATATCTGTATTTAAAAAAATTTAAATTGGTGTCAAAAAAGTATCTACCAGTGTTCTTTTTAATTTAAAAAGGTGATGTGTTTAAAAGATGGTTGAAAGTTTAACATCTTTAAAAGGCGTTCTCAGCTATGAGAGAAATTGTCACTTGTTTGAAGCTGACATACGTGTCTCCATAAATATTGTTCCATTCAAAACCCAAGATGACCGTGAATCTGGGTTGCCTGTGGAACTGCGGCTGTATGAAGGCCATATGCGTATCCATGGATTGTAAATGTAAATTGTAAATTCTATGGGGAGCTGTTGGGAGCAGCAATGACTGCGTGCTTTGGTGTGGAACCAGCACTCGTTCCATCTCTTTGCCATAACGCTCTGGTACAGCCTTCTGTGTACGGGCACTAACTGCACTTCAGAAAGGCTTACCTGATGTCGCAAATGTAACATCTTGAAGTTTGAAATGTGCACACTGACCAAAGAGAGGAAATTTTAATAGATGCAACACAAAAAAAGGATGCATGAGATACAACAGAAAACCAAGAATACAACGAAAAATAGCAAAACATCTGTTTAAGTTACAAAAAGAGTCCTCATCAGAAGAAATTGTAGGTAATTTTGGTGACCAAGAGTAAGCTTTTTCAGAGTTTTCCAGTTTATGAATTCCTAAACATTTCTAAGACTCACCTCAGAAATTTTCTATCTATATATTGTTGCTGAATGCATCTGGGTTTGTTTAAAATAGCTCTCCCTGATGAATGACGACTTTCAGATGACTCAACAGAAACCCCTTTTTCTCACATTATTTTACATGTCAGGCAAACTTTCTGTTCCCAATTAATATTTTGCCCATTGGAATTAACTGCCTTTAGCAGCGTGATGGTGTCGTGGATACGATGGTGGACAGTGGTACTTTATTCAGTAGGGTCCAACATGATCAGTTGATGGCAGGAAAACACAGTTTATAAGAGCCCAGTATCCCTGCCAAGCATCCCATTTTTTTTCTTAAGTCATGCCAATATTAAGTTGTATGTTATCTGCATCTGGCCCTGTAATTGCTGATGTTTTCTGTATTCTGCACAGACGTAAGCATCAATAAATTCTTATTTTTTGTGGTGGCTACTATATTTGTACATATACCCTAACTATTCTGAATGTAAAGTTAGTTCTGCAAATCTGTATTTTACAGATTTTACAGCATAAGGAACATACTGTACATTCCCTGATGTAATTTATTGTAAAGTTTTGGTCCTAGCAGTCAAAATACCTGAGATACTGTGCAGTTTATTACTTACATGTATCATTTTCTACCTAACCCCAAATTTGCTATATGCGTGTTGACTGTTCCTGAGGGAGCCGGGTGGAGGAGCCTTCCCAATGCCTCCACCAGTAACAGCAGCTGCAACCCCAGATGTGATCACTGGGCCTGGAGTCAGTCACTGCCCATCAGGGTCGCTGAACATAATAATTATTCACAAAGTTAAGAGAGATTACAATGGCCAATGAGAAAGGCATTACCTGCAACATGAACGAATTATGCCGTGGCTAAAATGGGTGAGCTGGGGTGGGAATGGTAAGAATGGGTTGAATTGCTTAGTGCTCCCACCAGGGCCATCACAAACTTTCTCTGCTGGAACAACGCAGGGATTCCCTGAAAAAAAAAACCTTTGGGAGGGAGTTTGTAAGTACGCCCCAATTGGAAAAGGCGGGGGGGGGGGAAAGGGGAGAAGCTTTAGAAAATTCTCAGTCTAATTTAAAATCAAAGTTGTACTGGTGAGGAGTGTAGAACTGGAATACAAAGCAGTTGCTTGCCCAC